CAGGGAGGGCGGCTGCTTCACGTCGTTCTGCATCCTGCAAGGCAGAGCACCACGGGGTGAGGGGGGCCAGTGCTCCGCTGTCCATCCGTCCCCAGCACCAGGGGCCCGGGGCAAGCCTGCCCCTGCTCAGGGCAGCGGGCAGAGGCCCAGCAGATGGACTGCATCGCCCGTTCGCAACGGGACAAGAAAGCTGCCTCCAGCCCCCCATCCCCCCGGAGGGCCGCGCAGGGGGCTGGGGCTGTCACGCTGAATGGCAGAAGAACTCTGGGCCTCCCAGATGCAGAGCTCCTCGCCAGGGTACAGGGCTCCCTGCCGGGACTGGGCACTAACCACGGGGCAGCCTGGTCAGGAGAGAAGTCAGGAACGCAGGGAGCGCCCCACCATCCCAACGGCTGCCGCACACCAGCCACAAGCCTCCCTCACCAGCAGCACCGGGACGCGGGCAGAACTGACCTGACGTTCACCATGTCTGCCGGGGTCCCCACGAACCCGCCGGTGAAACCTGCGGCCAAAGAAGAGCTGGAGTCAGGGGCCAACTCCAGCCTGAGGGAGCCCAGGGCCGAGGGAACCCTCTCCCTCGCTCACCTCCCACTGCACCCAGCAGCACTTTCTGGTAGAAGGGGGGAGGCCCCTGGCTGCCCTGGCCCAAGCGGTCCCTCGCAGTCTCGTAGATGGCAAAGCGAGTCAAGGAATACGTCATCTGGAGGAGAGGGACAATGAGCCGCTGTGCCCCGCTGGACACCTGCCTCCTCAGCCCCCGCGGCTCAGGGCAGCCTGTCAGCTCCAGCCCAGCTGCCAGACGGGGAGAGCAGCGCCACGCAGCAGGAGCTCCGTGCTGGCCTTGGGCAACCAGAGGCCGTCAGGGCACGGTGGCACTCACCTGCCGGCACAGCGAGGCGCTCAGCCCGTTGTAAAGAGCCAGGAAGCCGTCGGTGCGGATCACACGCATCGCCATCCCCATCATCCGCATCTTCACCTCCTGCTGCGTCTGCAGGTGGACCTGGGGCAGAGTTCGGCAGCATCAGTGCACTGGCCCAGTGCTGGGCAGAAATGGGAGAGCGCAGGGCAGCTCCGAGTGCTTGTCAGGGTAACTCATTAGCACGTGCACAGGAGCTTCTGCACAAATGGCGATGGGCCCAGGCTCCCCACACCTAAGCAGTACTTGGAAACGGGCCCAGCCTAGCATCAGAGCGGTGGAGGCTGGCAGCAGAAGGGGGAGTGCCGAGGCACCTGCCCACAGCCCCTCCCAGGCGCCTGCCCAGCTCGGTGGCCTCAACAGCACGCCCCAAGATGAAGTGGTAGCGCCTGCTCCACCAAGAAAGGCCCCGGGCCACATCGGGAAGGGGAGGATCCAGAAGCACGTGAACAAGCGAGCAACCAGCGCGGGTTTGCTCGGAGGGACCATGACAGGGCCGGTGAATTCATGACCTCCTGCTGCCCTACACCCTCGCCACGTGAGGCGGCAGGCCTCCAGAAGTAACTTCCCCTCCTCCCCAGCTGGAGGAATCACAGAGGCAGGAAGACAACCCTGCTCACCAGCTCCAAACGGCTCCCTGCCACAGCCAGGCACAGCCCAGGTATCCAGGCACTCCCCTCTCCATCCACAGCAGCCCAACGCTTCCCACCATCACCAGAGGAAGTGGCAGCGGGACTGCGCAGGGGCTGGCCGGGACAGAGGAGCACGTTGGCCGGTGCCGGAGCACGTTCTGAGGGCACCCGCCCGGCCCCACACTGTGAAGATCACGTGTGGGTCAAAGGCTGACGGAGATAAAATTAAAGAGAGCAAAGGGCCGCTGGCAAGGGACCAGGCCTGGCTCCCATTACAGAAGCCCCGGCACGGTCAGGGCGTGGGAGGCGCAGCAGGATACTGGGAACAGCCTCTGTCTCCCGTGCGGGGCAGCAGCGGGGGTGCAGGGAATGGATCTGCTTTTGACCCCAGTGGGTGGATTTCAGGCATCAGGGACCACAGCTCGTGGCGTGCCAGGGAGCTGGGCGAGCGGCTGCCAGGCAGCCCGGGGCAGAGGGACCGGGCAGGCAGGCAGGTACGCCAGAGCCACGCCTGGAAGCACTCTGCTGCCTGCTGGTCCCAAGGCCTCAGGAAGGGCAGGCAGGCAGGGGAGGAGCTGGCCAGTGCTGCGGTCACTGCTGCAGGGCAGCAGCCTCGTGGGCAGCCAGCGGTTGCGCAGTGCTGGCTCAGGGGTTCTGGCAGGGGTGTGAGCACCCTCCGGCCAGGCTGGCTGGGGCCTCCCACCGGGGCCAAGGTCCAGAGGTGCGGCAAAGTGCCCTCGGTCCCCTGCCCTGCCAGACCCTGAGGCCCCCCCACCTGGCACCAGCCCCCGCTGCAGGGGAGCTCTGGGCCAAAGGCAGGTCCGCGTTCAATATTCAGGTGTGAACCCTCTGGCAAAAACAGCCAGCTGGCCTGGGCTGCCCATGGCCACAGGGCATGCAGGGGCTACGCATCCACGGGCGATAGTGCGTGGAGACGCAGCCCAAAAGTCACACCCATCACGCTGGCTCAGACAGAGGCAGACCTAGAGGCATGTGCCAGACTAATTCCCCTTCTTAGTGCCTTGCCAGGGCATCCTACACAAGCTCCCACGGGCTGCCAGCCACCTCTGCTGGGCAGCCGGGGCCAGCTGGGCATGGCAACAGGCCAAGTACCGGGGAAGCGGCATCCCCCTGCCGGTGCTGGCTCCTCTCCTGGGCCTGCACCTGGTGCATCTTCCCCTCTCTCCATGCGGTGCAGTGGGATGGGGCTGCCTGTCCTGAGCTTTGCCCACAGGCACGGCCCCAGGCACGGCAGGGCACGGCCTGGGCTCGCTCTCCCGCTCCTCCTCCGCAGCCTGCCCGGCTGCCAGGCTCGTTGCTGCTTGGCCAGCGCACAAGGCTCCGGGGCAGCGCTGGCATTCACCCCGTCCGTGGGTGCTGGCAGCGCAGGGCTGCGCGCGGCGTTCTTTGTGCAGGAGCGGGGATGCCAGGCCGTCCGCGGCGCCTAGGTGACATCTTGGCCTGAGGACGCAGAGCCCAGTGGGCCCGTGTCCAACGCCGCCGGCCCTGGAGCCACCGCCGTGCCTCACATAGGCACCTGGGCAGGGCTGCCCGGGGCGTCCTCCACAGCTCCCAGGGTGGGCACCCTGATCTCCCCAGAGCTCCCAGCCGTGTCCCCCCAGGCCCACACCTGCCCCTGGGCCCTCAGCCCTGTCCCCTCACTGCCGTGCCCCCAGGCCCCGCAGCCGCCCGTCTCCTCCCGGAGCCCAGGGCCACGTCCCCAAGTGCTCCGTTCCCCCACAGCCGCGAACCGGCCCCCCGGCAGCTGTTTCCCCCGGTTCTCTGCAGCTGTTCCCGGCGCCCTCAGATCCAGTCTCCCGCTGCCGCTCTCTGGCTCCTCAGAACCGGCCCCCCAGCCGCCCCCGGGCCCCCCCA